TTTTCTCATTGTATTTCAATGTATCCCGCTGTATTCTATGTATTTCATTGTATTCACTGTCTCGCTATATGCCATGAATGTATTCATAAGTTTTTTTTAATTAATATAATTTATGTATTCAGATGTATTATATAATTTTTCTGAATATTGCTATGTTTTTGGGGTATTTTCGGTTGAGAATCTTTTTTATAACTGAAAATACAAAATTTGTGTGTTATAATTGAGTTTGTTGAGTTATATTAGGAGTTTATTATGTTAATTGATTCACTCTTCGTTTTAAAAATAGTGTAATCCCTTATTTTACGTCGTGAATACAGTCGAATACAATAATCTGTCCAGCTGTAATCTCATGTTTCACTCCATGAATATAGTCGAACGTAATCAAGAGGTTGAAATGCTACAAAGTTGCTGTCTTTATTTTTTGGCCAAACGAGTAATATAATTACTCATTCAGCAAAAGTAGCAATAGCACTTGTATCCTTCACATTCTCCACGTAAAGCTCCCTCTAATTTGGTGCATTTTTTTTGACACTCACCAAATCTGACCAAAAAGCAAGGCCCTCCAAATGTACCACTGTATCTTTTGCAGTCTTGAGCTTCCACACTTGTTATCTCTGCACAAAATCAAGATCCACATATTTAATTAGTAATTTTATTGATTTTATGTATGTTCCTAAGTGAGATTGCTCATGTTGTCGTCTCAATCCCGGATAAAAAAGAAGGATTACTATAGGCTAAATGAAGGATTACGACGGGCTGATAGCCCTCGTAAAACTAGCCAATTCATGATGAAAGGTTACGATAGGCTGACAACCATCATAAAATTAACTCATTCATGATAAACTTTAATCATTTTATGTATGGCAATCGGGATGTCTTGTATAGCTACTAAATTACGAATTCAACTTAACCCAGTAACTGTAATACAAAATTTAATATAGATGTAAAAATTACTAAAATTTCAATAAATATTAATATATTTTAAACCTTTTAATTTAAAAAGTACAATGAGTTCAATGATAAAATTATAGAAATTGAACTATCAAGTTAAAATCATGAATACCTATGTGCCTTGTGTGCTAAGCAGGGGTTGAAACTAATACAAATAGGTATTACTTTTATACTTAGGCATAAACCTAAAAAATCATTGTTTTGGTATAGGTACTTTCTAGACAATAATCAAAGATTATTTTTCTCATCTTGCTAGCAGATGGAATTTTCTCGTCAGTGAACGAATAATTACGCGTAACACCCTCAATTAGAATCTAAATAACTTCACATTCTACCCCATCTACGATAATATAAAGCAACAATAATACCACCAAGGATTACGGTGGGATGGATAGAAATTAGAATCCCTCCATCCTTAATAAGAGGTTTCGAATTGGCGCCCTGAGAGTGGAAAAAATATTCTTCCCCCTTTAATGGGTCTTACCCAGCGTAAATTCAAATTAATCGAGCTAGTAAAATTCGTGTACCGAATAATTATAAAAAAGAGTAACAGTAACAAAGATGACGAGGACAATAAGGGGTAATCGGATGATTCTTATACACCTTTTGATGCAAGGAGGAGGAAACAGAAAAACAGAATGGAGAAAATTTGAGATTTAGCCATATGAAATTGCTCAAATAAAGTAGTTCTATGATTTATGGTATTCATTGCTTGCACATTTATAGGGAACTAAGAACAATTATCAATTGGTCCATTTGTTAATTCGGTGGTAAGTTTCAAAGTATTAAACGACTAATTAATTGAAGACTACTAAGAAAATTGGATGTACGCTCTTGTCTTTGGTCGAGATGGCCGGATGACACTACTAAGAGCAGGGGCGGAGCTAGGTGAATGGAAGGGGCTTCAGCCAAACTTAGTTCGCTTGAAAATTAAATTGTGTATATACGGTTAATTTCTTTTTAAACGTGTACATATTAAATGATGAATTCCCTTTAAATTCTTTGCGTGTTTATTTTTTTTGTATTTTTGAATCCCCTTGGCGACAATCCCACTTCCAACAAGAGTGCTCCGTTACTACTAATTAAAGGTGCTCATGTTTAATTATTTCATTCTTTCTAAACCTATATATATTAGTATTATTATTATTTTGGCATATAGTTTTCTGTGTGTATATGTATATAAGGCCTGTGGTTACCTCATATAACAAATGTTAACACCTTATTTATTTTAAATAAATATCATTTAAAAAAATTATATTCTATAGATGCCTTTTAATGTTTATAGCAAAAATTCTATTTATGGTTACCTCCTACCCTTAAGCCATTACATACGCTATTTATTATCTTTCTTTCTCATTTTTCAGATTTTTCTCTCACATAATTACTGTATTTGATGTAAACTTCTCACTCCATGTTCTATCTCTCTCTAATTTGATACACGCTATTCTCTAAAAGATCAAAATTCTCACCTATATTCATAAGTTTCTTCTCTGAAAGATCAAAATTCTCCACAATTCCTCCCACAGTTTCTTCTTCAGACTTCCCAGTAAATTCCTCTAACTCCCCATTTTTATTTTTGGCTGTAACTTTAATAGGAAAGGGAAAAAAAACGGAAAAGGCCTAAAAATGCCACTTAACTTTCAGAAAAGGCCTATCCATGCCATCCATTAAAAAAATGTTCANCGATTCAGGGATTAAAAATTGGTGACTTGGGACGCCTTAAAATTCCCAGGTGGCGACTCTGAAACAAAACAAATAAATCCCGTTTCGACTGTCCTTTAATTGGAAAAACTCCCACGCACCCTCGCGGGGCGGAAAAAGGAGGTGCGACACATTTTATGCCACTGCCGTTACACATTTGGCCCATCCATGCCATTATTGACTAACGACAATGACATGAATGAGCCAAATAAAAATTGAGCCGTTAGTCAATAATGGCATAGGTGAGCCATATGTGTAACGACAGTTTATGGAATGAGCATTTTTTTAACGGATGGCATGGATAGACTTTTTCTGAAAGTTGAGTGGTATTTTTAGGCCTTTTTCCGAAAAAAAGACAATCTTAGAAGACTTCTACAATAGCAAGACCCAGAAAAACCCATGAGTTCAAACAAATAAATCTGATCGTATACAAAAGGGGGGACCAGTCAAAGATAATACAAAGCACAGAAGTTGAAGAACTAGTCCATCGCTGGTAGAGAGACGAATCCTCGAAAACGATACGCAACGTCTTGCCATGATTTTTGCTCGGCTACTGTACAGGACGCGTGGGAACAGTGAGATTCAAATTTTTTTTCTCAACGGCGGATTCGCCTGAAATTAGGGTTAATAAAGACGACAGAGTTTGGGGCTGAGCAGCTTGAATTTCTATTAATATATTTCAATGTATTTTCAATGTATCACGCTGTATTTTCATGTATTTCATTGTCTTTTTTTCATTGTAATTCAATATATCTCGCTGTATTCCATATATTTCATTGTATTCACTGTCTTTTTTTAAATTGTATTTCAATGTATTCCGCTGTATTTTATGTATTTCATTGTATTCAATGTCTCGCTATATGCCATGAATGTATTCATATATATTTTTTAATTAATATAATTTATGTATTCAGATGTATTATATAATTTCTCTGAAGATTGCTATGTTTTTGGTGTATTTTTCGGTTGAGAATCTTTTTTTATAACTGGAAATACAAATTTTGTGTGTTATAATTGAGTTTGTTGAGTTATATTAGGAGTCTATTATGTTAATTGATTCACTTTCCTTAAAAACAGTATAATCCCCTGTTTCACGTCGTGAATAAAGTCGAATACAATAATCTGTCTAGCTGTAATCCCATGTTTCATGCCATGAATACAATCGAATACACTCGAATACCACAACTGATTAGCTGGACTTCTCTGATTCACGCCTATTTTTGCTACTGTATTCATGAATACAATAACTTAAATATATCTAATATATCTTATAACAACAGAAAACGTATCTACAATCCAAAATATAGCAAATGATATCTATAAATAGCTAATTATCACTAAAAGATAGTGTTTTATGAAAATTTCTCTTTAATATATGTATTGTAACACCTCGAGCCTTGGTTAACTTCTATGTACATATGTTGATCAAAGTAATATTTAAATAATTAAAAGTTCCCAAATAAAAATATCATTAGGCCAAAATCCAAACAAGTCATTATTGGTATCCTCCAAGAATAGCAAACTCTTAACTGAAGCAGTTTCAGCTACGTTCTCGCTCGCCCAAAGCGTGACCCTATCACTATGATTCGATGAATCTTTTTATTAAAATATTAATCAAAATTCATATAATTTTAATTTCGAGAAACGGAAAATGTCAAGTAACTTGGAATGGAGAGAGCAGTAGAGTGGTGAATATTTCATTTAATGAAACTGTAAAAGTCTGAGATAATTTTGTTTATTGCTGACTGGGGCGGAGCTACGGAGCCGAGCGTGGGTTCGGTCAAATTCAGTAATTTTGGTTCGAACTTTGTATTTATCTTAAAATATTTATCGAATATGTATAAATTTTTAATTTAGAACCCAATAACTTAAGGCGATTAAAATCTTGAATCTATAAATTTGAAATCTTGGCTCCGTCTCTAATTGCTGATTTGGACAGTAAAAAGAGGAGACAACAAATTCTCCTTAAAGTAATTGTATTTATTTTATATGCAATTTATAATACTTTTTTTGTAATTTTCAAAAATCTATATTTTAATTTTAAATATTAAGTTGATCTCCAAGTTAACTTCGAAGATTAGTTAAATTGACGCTGCCACCTTATGTATTTCAAACACTTTTTGCTTGTCTCGAAATGCATGCGCAAATTTTTTTATTTTCTGGAAAACTATTTCAACCAACATTATTTAAGAAAAGTTTCCGATTTTTTCAAAAAATAATTCAACATATACCAAAATGAACATTTATAAAACGTAATAAAATAAATCTTCCAACATTCCCATTTTACGTTAAGGTGGAAGAGTTGCAGCAAATAAATTGTTGCGTTTTACTTTTTCTTTTTATTTTGCTTTTCCTAATTTCCAGACATTGGAAAAGATTCAGCAGTTTCTTGGAAAGCGCACTCTTCTTCGTGGCGCACTCCTCTCTCTCTCTCTCTCTCTCTTCTCTCGCACGCAAACACATTTGGGATATTTATTTCTCCTCACACTTTTGCTTCAATCCTCAAACATGGCGCAAATGAAGCTTTCACTTTCGGTTTCGCTTTTTCTCACTCTTCTTCTTCTTTCTCCTTCTTCATTCGCGAAGGTTTCAATATCTTCGAAGTTAGCATCGAAGCAAGCTGAGAAGTTGATACACGAGCTCAATTTGTTCCCAAAAGAATCCGATAATATCGTCGATCGGGATCCATTTCCCACCGCTGCTTCTAGAATCGTCGAGAAGCGATTCTCGTTCCCTAATTTGGCGAATTCTAGTATAATATCCTTTGAAGATTTGGGGCATCATGCCGGTTATTATAAGATTAAGCATTCTCATGCTGCTAGGTACCTTTTCAAACCCTAGATTACTTTTTTTTTTGTCAATGTCTGTCTCGATTTTTATGGCAGTGTTTAATTGAGCACGGAATTTAAGATGTTGATTGGATTTAATTATTAGAGTAAGAAGTATTCTAAGAACATATTTCCATAAATGTACAAAAGGTAATTTGATAAAAAGGATTATCAGATAATGTTATAGTGTCGCACATTGGTTGAGGGAATGAAGTGTTGTCTCCTATGGTATCAAGCAATCCTCAGTTACTCACCTCGTGAGCTAGTTCTTGAGGTTGTGGTAGGGTAAGGTCGACTTTGTGTTTCTCCAAGTTGGGCCCGCATGTTATGTTATCCACACTCCAGGCGTCCACTGCCTCAGCATGTGGCAGTGTTAAAGTGTCCCAAATTGGTGGAGAGAGCGGACTGTTGTCTCCTTATATAGTGAATAAACAACCATGACCTCATGAGCTAGCTTTTGAGGTTGAGTTAGGTCCAAAGTCTATATTCTTTTCAAAAAAAGGAATTAGAGTATCTTGAAAATTGCGAAGATACTAGCAAAATGGTGTCAAATGTTCTCGGACGTCCCAAAATAGAAAGTTCGTCAACTTGGAACAGACTAGTATCATATTTGTTGCTTCATACACTTCCTGGTTTTTGTGATTCTTGTTCCGATTTGTATTATCATAGGTATCCAACCAAATTGTAGTTTCAGTTTTTTTCTTTTCTCTTATGTTAAAATACTGTCAGGTCCAACAATGCATTGTGGTGCAATAGGTTTTTGTTATCTACAGAATGTAGGCAATCTCTCAGTAGTTTTCTATCATGCAGTGGACCCCTGCATGCTCCTCTATCCTCCTACAAGTTCACTTTCCACTTCGGAAATTCGAATACAACGGTTGTAACTGGTGTTAAAATGAATTCAAAGGATGTTTATTTGATATTGCGATAAAATGGATTTAAATATAGCAGAATTGTTATAGAGTATTCATTTAGTCAACCCCAATTAATTTGGAAGTGTTTGACTGGTTGATTAATGGAGAATATTCTGTATGCTTCACTTACCTTCAAGTGTCATTACACGTAGCTTTTGTGGGGAACCATCAGATTTTTACAGTTTGACCACTTATCTGTTTAAGTCAATCAATGCGCTTAAGAAGTTGCCGAATCAGTTGAAATATTGAAAGGAATGCTGCAACATTGTTTCATTTAAAATATTTCTCTTTCGTGAGCATTTACCAAAATATACATCTCCGGAGTAATTAGGCTTTATATCTTTGTCTTCCTGTCTAATGTATCAACTAGCTTCTCCTTATTTGTTGGTTGGGATCTTATTTAGCTTGAACTGTGTTATCTTTCATTTTGTAGGTTGTTCTATTTCTTCTTTGAATCACAAGGCAGTAAGGACGATCCTGTTGTCATCTGGTTGAGCGGAGGACCTGGTTGCAGCAGTGAGTTGGCCCTTTTCTATGAAAATGGACCTTTCTCAATTGCAAATAATTTGTCACTTGTGCTGAATGAATATGGGTGGGACAAGGTAATCAACTAACTTTACCTTATAAAAAAAAAAGCTAATCGACTAACTTTAAGATCACCTTATAGTTGTAACGGAAAAGGGCCAAATATATCCCTGTACTATCAGAAAAGGTTTAAATGTACCTCTCGTTATACTTTGAGTCCAAATATACCCCTCTCGTTATACTATTGGTTCAAATATACCCCTTTTCCATTAAGTTTGCCCAAAGTGGACATCCAATACTACGTGGCACAGGTAGATGCCACATGGGTTGCCACCTCAATGCCCATAACCCATTTTACCCCTCCTTTCTATTTTTTTTCCACCAATAAAATATTATTCCCCTCCACCATTATTGCCACCATTACCGCTACCATGAAAAATATTATATTTCAAATTTTAATCTTTTATATATGGATTAGAGGTGCTGAGGTGGCATGCCATGTGGCATCCACCTCATCAAATATTAGTGACACGTAGGATTGGATGTCCATCTTGGACAAACTTAACAGAAGAGGGGTATATTTGAACCAATAGTATTACGGCAGGGGTATATTTGGACCTAAAGTTTAACGAAGGGTATATTTAAA